GCTACGCCTCCCAAGACGTGTTCAGCGCCACTGAGACCAGTTTGTGGTATGACCTCCTGCCCAGCCAGGCCCCGGGGCTGTGTGGAAGTGATGGACGGACGCGCCAAGCCACCCAGCGCCTCAGCGTCCTGCTGTGCGCCAACGCAGATGGCAGTGAGAAGCTGCCCCCGCTAGTGGCGGGCAAGTCGGCCAAGCCCCGTGCTGGCCAAGCCGGCCTGCCCTGCGACTATACTGCCAACTCCAAGGGAGGTGTCACCAGCCAGGCTCTGGCCAAGTACCTGAAGGCTCTGGACACCCGGATGGCTACAGAGTCTCGCCGGGTTCTTCTGCTGGTTGGTCGGTTGGCTGCCCAGTCCCTGGACACCTCAGGCCTGCGGCATGTGCAGCTGGCTTTCTTCCCACCTGGCACTGTGAACCCGCTGGAGCGGGGAGTGGTCCAGCAGGTGAAAGGCCACTACCGCCAGGCCATGCTGCTGAAGGCCATGGCAGCCCTGGAGAGCCAGGATCACTCAGGCCTGCAGCTGGGCCTCTTGGAGGCGCTGCACTTCGTGGCCGCTGCCTGGCAGGCAGTGGAGTCCACAGACATAGCGGCCTGCTTCCGAGAAGCTGGCTTTGGGGGTGATCCTAATGCCACCATCACCACTTCCCTCAAGAGTGAAGGGGAGGATGAGGACGAAGAGGAGGAGGAGGAAGAGGAGGAGGAAGAGGAGGGAGAAGAAGAGGAGGGGGAAGGGGAAGAGGAGGAAGAAGAAGGGGAGGAAGAGGAGGAAGGGGGGGAAGGAGAGGAATTGGGGGAGGAAGAGGAGGTGGAGGAGGAGGGTGATGTTGATGATAGTGATGATGAAGAGGAGGAAGAGGAGGAGGAGAGTTCCTCTGAGGGTTTGGAGGCTGAGGACTGGGCCCAGGGAGTGGTGGAGGCTGGTGGCAGCTTCGGGGGCTACAGTGCCCAGGAGGAGGCCCAATACCCTACCCTCCATTTCCTGGAAGGTGGAGAGGACTCGGAGTCAGACAGTGAGGAAGAGGAGGACGACGACGATGAGGAAGATGAAGACGATGAAGACGATGAGGAGGATGGTGACGAGGTGCCTGTACCCAGCTTTGGGGAGGCCATGGCCTACTTTGCGATGGTCAAGAGGTACCTGACGTCCTTCCCCATCGATGACCGTGTGCAGAGCCACATCCTCCACTTGGAACATGATTTGGTCCACGTGACCAGAAAGAACCATGCCAGGCAGGCTGGAGTTTGGGGTCTTGGACATCAAAGCTGAGCCACTGGGCTAGCTGTTCCCCCGAGCCAGATTGGCAGCACCAGCCCTGGGTGGAGGACTCTGGGCAGCCGCTGTGGCTGGAGCCAGAGTGGGGAATGGCAGATCCCTTAGCAACGCTTCCCCGTGACAGGCCCGGTCACCTTGGCCGGGCTGGGGCTAAGGTCAGCTTCACTGCCTGCTTATTGCCTCTGTCAGAATCTTCTTTCCTCCCCATTTGCCCCAGGGCTCTGGGCACCAGGTGGGGTGGGTGGGGAGCTGCTCGGTGCTACCACACCATGCCATCAGTGGACTAGACCACAGCAGCAGCCAGGGATGGCCCTGGAAGCTCCCAGCCGGAGAGTGCCTCTTCCTTCTGCCTAACACACCAGGTCTTGGGTTGGGGGGACCCCAAAGCCATTCTGGGAAGGGCTGCAGAAGAAGGTCTAGTCTAGGCCTCACAGGCTGGCAGCCCCACCGCCCCCAGCCTTCTCAAGAAGCACAGTCTCACCATGGGCTCCTAGGCCTGCCTCTGCCTGCTTCCCAGCTCCCCAGTTCCTTGGTCTGGCCTAGTCCATGTAACTTTGGCCATGGGTTTTTTTCCAGATTGGAGGTTTCCAAGAAGCGCTCCAGGGGAATGATGATGGGCACTTCCCTGGTGGGCAGCTGCAGGCCCTTTGGCTCTCCTCCCTCTCTGGCAGGGCCCCATCCTGGGCAGAGGGGCCTGGGGCTGGGCCAGAGTCCAGCCATCCAGCTGCTCCTTTCCCGGTTTGTATTCAATAAATCTGTCCACCCCCCTTTTGTGGGGGTGAACGTTTTAACAGCCAAGGGTGCATCCTTCATGGTCAACTTGCGTCTGTTTTGGGGGACATGTCCTTCTCAGTTCCCTTTGGTCCTTGCTCTGGAGGGACACGGAAGCAGGTATTGAGAGGGTGGCCTTGACTGGAGTGATGGGCAGAGGCAGCCCTTACCATCATATCAGAATGTTAACTAAGCTTGGGAGGAAGGGGTCTTCAGCGTCCCAGGTGGGTTTGAGGAAGACTAGTCTTAAAGAGAAACGTAGGGTCGGGACCAGCAGTTGGTGTAATGGCTATGTCGCTGGACTCCCATGTAGTCAACCACAATTCAAGTCCCAGACCCAGTGGCTTAAACTCATGCTGGACACGTGTGCATGCGTGCCCAAGATCCTGAGAAGAATGGAGGAGAAGGGATTGTGGCGTGGCCATCCCCCAGGAGGGTGATTTCTCACTTTGTCTCTCCAGTGAGCATGCACACCCTGTATCAAACATCTTTCAAAAAAAAGGTCCTTGGGGCCAACAAATAACATACTAGTTATGTCCCACATGGCCAACCACAGTTAAGTCCTGGACCCAGTGGCTTAAAACTCATGCAGGGTTTACGTGTGAGTGTGCCCAAGATCCTGGGAAGAGAACGGATTGTGGCCTGCCATCCCCCTCCAGGGGGTGATTTCTCACTTTCCTTCACTGTCTCTGTCTTTTCTCCAGCAAGTACACATGCCCTAAGACAAAAACCTCTTTAAAAAGTCCCTGGGACCAGCAGATGGTGTAATGGTTACGTCGCTGGGTTCCCATGTAGTCCACTGCAGTTAAGAGTTTCAGACCCTGGGAACCAGCAGTTAGCGTAATGGCTATGTCGCTGGACTCCCACGTAGTCGACCACGGTTTGCGTCCCGGACCCAGTGGCTTAAAACTCACGCCGGGCACGTGTGCGTGCATGCCCAAGATCCCAAGAGGAGAATGGAGGAGAAGGGATTGCGGCGTGACCATCCCTCCTGGGGGGTGATTTCTTGCTTTCTGTCTCTATGTCTCTCTCTGTCTGTCTGGTGAGCGCACTGCGCCCTATAGCAAAAACCTCTCCAAAAAGAAAAAAGAGTTTCAGACCCTGTGACTTAAAAACTCAACACCGGGCACGTGTGCGTGCAGGTCCAAAATCCTGAGAGGAGAATGGAGAAGAAGGGATCTTGGCTTGACCATCCTCTGGGGTGGGGGGAGTGATTTCTCACTTTCTGCCTCTGTCTCTAGTGAGCATGTGCCCCCTATAGAAAAAAAAAATCTCTCTTAAAAAAAAAAAAAAAAGTCTTTTGCAGGAGTGGGACAGGACAGAAGGGTATTGAGACAGCTCCTGTGTTCAGGTTGAAATTTGGAAGGGCATGCCAGGCACCCTTTAGAACCTTTAGTGGGAGATTTTTAGGCCTTTCAGTGATTGGCATCTCCGAGTCTGATGGCCAAGCTCAGAGACAGCAGCAAAAAGAAAATGAAATTGTTGGGAACAGATTGTACCCCAGAGGTGAGGATGAGTTGGTGACTCCCCGTATAGTCCAAAGGTGGATGCGGGTCCCTTTCTGGATCTACCTCCTTCCTCCTTTCAGGGCTCAGCCCCTCCCTTCCTAACCTTCCCTCACTGAGGGCCTCAGGCCCCAGCGGTTCCAGCCTGGGGATGGCCTGGGCCTGAGCCAAGAAGGTGGTTCTGGGCCCCAAACCGGTTTTCCCACCTCACCTGGGGCTGGCACACCACCTCTGGTTCCTTCTAGATCTCTCTCACCCCCTTTCCCAGCCTAGCTCCTCTCCCCACCCTGGAATGTTAAGAGGTGGGGGAGATCCAGGTCATTTCTTGTTCCTTGCTTGCCCTGGGTGCGGTTCCTTCTAGAAAGCCAAAGCCACTATGTGTGACTTTGAAATAAGGGGCGACTTCCACTCTTGGCCTGTTGAACTTGGCCTTTTAGCACTCAGGGATCCCCTCCAGGCCTTGAAACTAAGTGACAACAGAAAGCATTTGGGATTCCCCTTGTGTGTACACAGACACACACACACACACACACACACACACACACACACGATCCAAGACCTACCAGAAGAGAAGCCTGGCCTACCTCCTGGCCTGCACACACACATCATCCAAGACCTACCAGAAGAGAAGCCTGGCCTACACACACACACACTCACCATCCAAGACCTACCAGAAGAGAAGCCCAGCCTACCTCCTGGCCTGCTCTAGAGTAAGGACAGAGTGGCCCAGGTTCCCTCACATACCAACAAGGCAAATCGCTTCCGTTTGTCTCCTGCCGACAAGAAAGCCTCTTTTTCAGGGAACCGAGATCGTTTCATTAATGATAATACCTGCTGATGTTAACAGGTCTTTGCTGTGTGCAGGCGCAGTGTTAAACGTTTTAGATGCTCACAAAACCCCTAATGAGAGGTAAAACCGTAAGAGAACATGATGTTACCAAAGCCATGCTGTCGGTCTGTGGTAGAAGCAAGCTTGTTTCCCAGGCTGACCCCAGAAGTTCCCTTTCACGGAGGGATGTATATTCTTAACCCTCTTAAAGGTAGTGCTGGTTCCTGAAATCAATTTCTGATCTATTATTCTAATGGAATAATAGCTCTTTGGAGGGAGATGTGGGATGTGGAAGTGTCCGAAAGAGCTCTTGCTACTTCTATTCCTATAACCAATTCCCAGTCTCCATATAAAAGGTCTTATGTACATATTTTTAAAAAATAATTATTTTATTTAACTTTATTTATTTCAATTTGACCAGAAAGGGACAGAGCAAGAGCAAGAGAGAAAGAGAGGGAAAGTGAGAAAGCAAGCTACCAGGTCCAGGACTCGAACCATGGTCAGCCATGTGGGAGTCCATTGCTCATAATCAGCACGCCATCTGCTGGCCCCTGTCTTCTGTACATGTTAACTTTTTTTTTTTTTTTTTTTTTCTGTCTGTAAAGCTCTTGACAAGTACCCTACGGGGACAAGTAGATGAGAACTAGTCCCATTTCACAAAGAAGAAAATAGGGTAAAGGAGTGAAGGCCCAAGGCACTGGTCTCAAACTATTCTCCCCAGCTTCTGGGTTACATATTAACTGCCCCACTGTCAGAAGGAGGGAGTGGCAAGGTGATATGAACACAGCTTTGGGAAGGGAGCCAGCTAGGAAACACTGTCACCCAACCAATCACGCAGTCCACATGGTTGCAGATTATTAACCCTGGATCCCAGGTTAAGCTGACAGACACTGGGTTGTCTCCTACATTGGGCACTGCTAGCTAATGGGCCCAAAGGGGGAATCCCAGTCCTGGGGTTGCTGGGGAGGGGTCCTGGGGACTTGGCTGGCTTTGGCACGTCCCAGAGTGGGTCAGCGACTGCTCAGCAAGAGGCGTGGGTGCAGAGCTGATGCCTTCTTGGGTAGGCGAGGAAGTCAAGAACATTTAACTTTTTCTTTTCAAAGCTGGGGCCTGAGAAGTAGCCGCAGAAAAAAACTACAGCTCCCAGAAGCCTTTGCTTCCAGGAGGGCCTAGGATGGTTGCCATGGTTTCAGAAAACAATATGGCCGCTTCCAGCTAGGCGGTGAGCAGCTGGATTCCGGAGGCAGAGACGGATCAGACTGTCCGCAGGGTCAAGAGAGGAGGTGCTTGAGGGGTGTTGACACTGGGGCCGGGCGCTGGCCTTGCCCAGGGCTCCGATGGCGAGCAGCGTGGACGAAGAGGCTCTGCACCAGCTGTACCTGTGGGTAGACAGCATCCCTCTGTCCCGGCCCAAGAGAAACCTCTCCCGGGACTTCAGTGACGGAGGTGTGCGCCCCTGTGTGTGTCTACATGTCCTGTCCTGTGTAGATGTGCATAAGGAGTGTGTGTGTGCACGCTGCCTCCCTTTGTTCATAGGAGTGCGAAGTGGTGATGGTAAGATCTGGCCCTTGAGGCTTTGTGGAAGTGTGTACTTGTATGTGTGCTTTCTGCTTGATTCTTTGTGTAATCAGTGTGTCCATATGTATGTTTACCTGTGTGCATGTGGTGTGTGTGTGCATGTATGCGTGTATTTGTCTCAGACCCGCTCTGGGGACTTTAATGACTCAGATGTGCATCTTTGTATGTATTTGTGCATCTCTATGTACACTCGTTGCTGTGTTCTCTATGTTTGTCTTGTGGGAATCTGAGCATGTGTGTATTCTTATGTGTGTTGACACATTCTGACGCGTATGTATGGGGTCTTACGTGAGATTGTGTAGATGTCTGTTACTAGGACTATATCCTGAGATTTCAATGACAGAGTATGCATCTCTGTGTATGTGTATTTGGGGAGGCTCTGTGCATATGTGACTCTGTGTTTGTGTGTGTTCTATATGTTTGCCCATGTGTTTGTTCTGTGTCTGCACGTTCTGTCCTGTGTATATCTGCAGGGGGATCTTATCACATGTGTCTCTGCTTGTGTGAGTGTGACTCTCTCCCAGGACGTTGATTTGGAAGTGTGTGTGTTTGTGTGTGTGTGTACATGGGCACAAATCCAGTTGAATTACTAGGGTGGGGCTGTGGACTCCTGCAGGACTGTCTGGGAGACTCACTTCCTGGTAGAGGACCTGAAGCCAGGGACCTCAATGTGGCATGGTCCAAGGCAACAGGGAAGGGAGGCAGCTCTTCTGAGCTTTGCTGCAGACGGACGAGTCTCTGCCTGATCACTGACCCGGCTCTCTTTGCCTCCCCCACCTCCTGCCTGCACCTCCACCTCTTCACTGGGTTCCCCCACTCTGCTACCCTTGAGTTTCCACACACCCTTCTCTTCTCCCACCTCTCCCTCCTCTGTCTGTCCTCTCACCGTCCATGCCTACTGTCACACCAACTCCCTCAGTCCTGGTCGCAGAGGTTGTCAAGTTTTACTTCCCCAAGATGGTGGAGATGCACAACTATGTCCCTGCAAACTCTCTCCAGCAGAAACTCAGCAACTGGGGTCATCTGAACAGGTAGCAGGATGCCTGGGGGCGGGAGTGGGACTCTCCAACCCCCATCCCTGTTTCCCGGGAAGGGGCTTGAGGCTGCCCAGACTGAGACTGCGTTGGTGGCAGGGTGGGGAGGGCCCCCAGAGAGGTGATAACAAAGTCAAGGAGCTCTTCTGTTGGGAAGGAGGTGGGGAACTTCAGGATACCCAAGCAGGAGGACTGAGATGCCCCCCTCCCCACTCCGAGACTCAGGACCGCCGGCACCGCGTCCCCTTTCTTCTCCCCCACCCCTTGCTCGCCATCCTGTGTCTACCCCGCAGGAGGGTACTGAACAAGCTGAACTTCTCGGTACCTGACGATGTGATGCGCAAGATCGCGCAGTGTGCCCCCGGCGTGGTGGAGCTGGTGCTCATCCCGCTCAGGCAGCGCCTGGAAGCGCGGCAGAAGCGCAGGCAAC